GAAAAGTTGCAATGAGGTCTCCACGCAGTCTTCTCTTCTCCAGGCTGAACAGCCCCAACTTCCTCAGCCTGTCCTCATAGGGGAGATGCTCCACTTGTCAACTTTGTGGCCTCCTCTGGAATTGCTCCAACAGTTCCATGTCCTTCTTCTGTTGTGGACACCAGAACTGCACACAGTATTCCAGGTGGGGTCTCACGAGAGCAGAGTGGAAGAATCACTACCTTCAACATGCTGCCCACACTCCTTTTGATGCAGCCCAGGATTCAATTGGCTTTCTGGGCTGCTAGCACACACTGCCAGCTCATGGTGAGCTTCTCATCCACTGTCACTCCCAAGTCTTTCTCCTCACTGCTGGTTTCAATTCCTTCCCCACCCAACCTGTTGCTGTGCCTGGGATTGCCATGGCCCAGATGTAGGACCTTGCACTTAACTCTGATGTTCATCAAAATATAGGTGCACAAATAAACAATAAACTTCTGCTCATTCTCTCTGCTCTGCCCCTCAGTTTACTCACTTAAATTCTCTTAACTCTTCTTCCACTACACATCTGCTGCTCTGTCAAGGTAAAGCTTTTGTTAGAAGAATAAAGACTACTCAACCATGCCAGGCCCTCATATGCTTTCAATTTAGTTTCAGCTGTACTTTGCTTTATGGTATGATAAATCTTTCCAAATTCTATTGTTAAAATTTCCTGTGTGAAAGAGAACTTTCATGGAAACTATGCAAAAGAAGTAGCTGGTTTGCAATGGCGCACAAAATTCAGGCAAAATTGCGAAGCTATATAGTGAAAATTGCAAAAATGCCTTGGCAGGAAAAATAATTTTAAGTACATAGATAAATAATTCAATCAATAGATATGAATTTTATTTTTTTTAAACCAGGCTATGGCTGGACAGCAATTCCTTTAAAACTACCATATACAACTTCTCACAGGGTAAAACAAAGGTCTTTTCAGTCTTTGTGGCTCCAAAAGACTGGAAAGTAAAATGAATGAGGTGGTTTAAAAGTTCTATCCATAAATCTGTCTCATTTCTATGTATGAAATGGAAGAAAAAAGAATATTTATTTAGACATTTACATAAGCTTGCCATCAAAATGACACCCATATAAAGCTAAATCTCTATTTTTAAAATGCTACTTGTAACTCCATGGAATTATATATTGCTTAATGTCAAACAAGAAATCTATGCAGTCATAATTAAAAACATACCACTGCCCTTTTTCAAAGTTTCAACCAGCATTCCGTCTCTCTCAAGCAGCCAGAATAAAATTCATTAACATTTTGATGGTGTTCAAACACAGTCTAGAATTACTGAAATATTTAGGAAGCCATTAACTTATCAGTCCCTTTACCTGCTACTGGGGCCTT